ATATTGTAAGTCTACCGGTATCTAACTATCGATACACTGCAAGCCTCTGTGTACAGTCTCGGAAAAAAAACAAAATAAATATTTAGGAAATTGTTAACATGAAATGTATACAAGAAACGACCAGTTATCAAGCTCAAAAGTCGGAATATGCAATTTGAATTGAGCGCATGGGAATCAAATACCCTGAATATAAAGATAGGATCAGGTGTCATGGCGGAGTGTAAATCACTTATCGTCAGACTTACTTACAGACTTCTTTTCTCTTCTAAGTAAATGAGAAATTCTGTAGTCAGTGTATTATGAAAAGAATAGTCATCATGAAACATATGGAGATAACAAACAGTATTCAAGATCAAAAGTCCATAAAACAATACAAAATAGGAGCAGAGCAAACACTTTTAAATAATGAAAGTTCTAATTGAGATCATCAAAAAGATAAACATATGTAAAAAATCAAGGAAACAAGCACCAAAAGCAAATGCTGATTGACTGAAGGACGTTATAATTCTGTTAATGCTATTTTTGTAACCGTCAAACCCATACACTATATGTGTATTAAAAAAAGTTGCTTCATATTTTTGGGATTTCGAACGGACCACAATGCTATCATTCGAATACCGTTTAAAAATCCTTTTAAATATAATATACGGCACGTTAGTGTGTAATGCTAATTCATGAATATGCCAACAAAACAGTACCCAATAATTTCGCTAAATTTTGAATACGCGAACTTATGTACACGTTAAGGAAACAGTTGCAAACAAAGAAAAACATAATTTTGTTAATTTTTATATCATTCTGTATAACTTATGATAAAAATAAAAGATTTAACGCAGTTCAAACATTGAAAAAGTACTACCCATTTTACGTTCATTAGTATATTCCAGAAAATATGTGGTATTCTTTATATTGGTGAGCCTAGTTTGTGCAGTTACAGTGGGATCATTCACTTCTTAAAAGTAAAGGAACTTTACGTAATGCACTGAAGAATAAATGGGTTTAATAAACCACTAGAAATCTATAAAATGAAATCCATATCACACAAATTATTTTAGAGGAATTTGCTCATTTGCTTGAAGATATCACTGGTTTAAAAATAATAGGTACTAAGAAATGTCTTGATTTAGAGGTTTTTAAGCATACCATTCTTCTTTGGATTGAATATCATATATTTTGTGTCATCTCGCCCAAGCAAAACTATTCGCTTCGTTTGATAAACAGCAAAAAAGATAACCACAGTTTGGATTAAAAAAGGTTATCTACTAACAAAATAACGAAACTACTAATGCAGTATTATACTTTTTGTAAGAAAAGTTAATTACATTCCGTGAGAAAAATCAAAGTAAGGATATCCGATCCTCAGGTTCTGAATAAAAATCATAGGTATTCAGGCTTTTAAAGAAAAGTGCATGAAGTTTACACTTATTAAGGTCTTCCGTTTCCAACGGAAGACCTTCTACTGATTCTGTTGGTAAAGATTATTATGTCGCCCCGAACGAAGTCGGGGACGACATATTGATATTGTACGCATGTTTTTTTTATCCAGGCTGTTTCTCGGAGATGGCTGGGGCAATCTTCCTGAAACTTTCCTCAAAGGACGATCACTGGTTGTAGTTGTGCAGTGAGGTCGTTCAGTTCCAATATGTCTACCGTTGCCATGGAAACCTGTAAAAAGCGACGAATTTTGTCCGAGAGTGTTCTCTCTGGTCCCTTAAACGTTCGTCATGAAACTCTTTTTATTTTAATGATTAGTATCTGTAGTTGTGCGCTTTGCATTTAAAATTTTCAAATAATCGATTATTGCCATGGAAACCAGGGGAATGTTAAAATTCTTTAATTTCGATTTTCTCAATAACTACTCAAGCAATCGTTTTGAAACTTTCAATGTTAATTCCTTGCAATGTGTCAAAGTGATTTCTTCTTTTAAAATAATTGTAATGTGTCGCTCACAGTTGTCATAGAAACGAAACAGAAAAAAAAGGTTAAGATGTACACATGTGTTCTCCAAGGTCTAGGTCAAAGGGTCAAAGTTCTTCGTGTCCAATAAAAGTTCTTTTCACAAGGATTACATATTTGAAATACGAAAGCCCTAGCCCTTACCGTTCAAACGTAAGGTACTATGTTCAAGACGAACACCCCCCCCCTTTTTGAAGCGCACTGCCAGGTAGAATACACAGATATAACATATACAATTTACAAGTAACGTTTTAAAAGTTTCATTCATAAAATTCAGTTCTCCTGATGTGATTTGATAGTTTGCCAACATTCATTGTTCTTCTGTCTTGTCTCTAGATTTTATGATTATTTTATTTTTTCTATATAAAAAAATAACGATTGTCAACTGCATTTATTAGCATTTCGCGTTTTTTGGTATATCTATTACTTGTATATTATTAATTTCATTAAATAGTGCAAGAATAAATTAGAAAATTGGTACGTTATTTCCATAGTTTTTATTCATTCATAAATCTTTGGATCCGCTCCTACAGGTGCGCTATGCCTTGATCACTACTGTAAACAAAACATTCATCTCGCCGAAAATGTTCATGATTCCGCTAAACTGAGAAAGTTTAGACATGATTTATCATCTCATAAGAAACATCAACCCTGTACAATGCAGAAATGCTCGAATTGAAGGTGGCATGTCAGATTCGTTTTTCGACAGAACCTCTAAAATTAAAGTGAAAGTAGGGAAATTTCTGAAATCTCACTGGCGTTATAATACACAAAATAATTCGGCTGATCTTCTTAATAAATAATATTTGCCAAGCTTTTTTGGTAGGAAAGATACTGCCAATTAACAAGTATGAGGCTCAGTTCAGTACATCTGCCCAATTTCTTTTATGCAAGTCTGCAATTTTGGACTTGTAATTTTTTTTCCTGCACTACTTTCTTCTCCTACAGATTCTAAAAATAATGAGTGGGATGTACCCAATTAAAGTCTTCCGTTTCCAACGGAAAGAACTGATACGACTGGATGGTTGTCAAAGCTTAGCTAATGGACCATTGTTTTAGTGATGATAAAAATGAAAGTCTTGTCCAATACGGGGCGACATATGCTATTGCTTGCAATAGCAGACTTTCTAGTTAAGGTCTTCCGTTTCCAACGGAAGACCTTCTACTGATTCTGATGATTAAGATTATTCTTATTATTCTTTTTTTTTCCTTTTCCTAGACGCCAACTTTGAGGCCTCATATTTCACTCATTTCTCAATGGATTTTGCTCAAATTTTCAGAGTATATAGACGTTTCTAAACTCTAACAGAATGCTATCTAAAATTTCAAAAAGTCACTTCCGGTTTTGAGTTATTTCCCTTTAAACGAAAATTTATAGGCTTTCGTTTCCAGACAAAAGCTGGAGCAGAAATTTTACTGATTTTAGATAATACAAGGATTGAAGTTGTGCATGGCGGTTTTTGTTTTTCGATTTCTTTATTAAAAATGGTGCTATATAGGGGTCAAAAATTAGAACGCCTAAAAGAGCGAAAATTTACACATATTTTACTTTTTATCTTGAAATCTAAAAATATTTTTTTAAGACATAATGAACAAAAAATGTGCATAATTGCAAGGGCTTTCATGTAATACTATTCAAAAGGGGCTGGCCCCTATAAAAAGGGTTCTATGGAACTTGAAAGTTTTTGCTTTATAACTCAAAAACGGTAAATATTTCGATCTAGATCTAACGGAAAAAATTGCTCTTTTACACCTATTTGATCTGATGAAAATGCTGATTTGTTCGATTATGCCGGGAATATTGGTAATAAAGCGGTAAAAGCAGGCAAGGTAAACAGGTAGCGTTTTTCGGATTATAATCACCTTGTTTGTTTACAATTATGTAACACGCTTCCCTCGATAGCGCGGGGCAAAGTCGGTCACCGGGAATCAATCGGCGGGTAATCCAGTGACCCACAGTTATACACAAATAAAAACACAGAATGGTTAAATTCATTCTTTTCATATATAGAATTGTACCTTAATACTATCTCTGTACTATAAAAATATTATTTTGTTCGAGTCTTACGTATTATAGGAAAGAAAGCTAGGCAGTTCTCATCTTGCTATTGAAAGAAAACTCTGTAGTCTTTATGCGCAGAATTGAAGTAAACTTGCCGTAAATAATAAATATTTTACAATGCTGTATCACATCTCTTTTTTTTAATTAGGTTTTAACCCTTTCTCTACCGGCACATTTTCAGCGTTTTTGCAAACCTTTTGACATATCCTTATAAATCAATTTATAACTTTTTTATTCAAAGATTAACCTAGGTATAATGTATACCATTTTGTAGGGAATTTTTTGGAGATGATATTTCATAACTATGTAGGTACCTCACGACTGACCTTGCTAGTGGAAATTGAGGTCAAAGGTCAAATAAGTGCAGAATTTTATTGCATTTTTTGACAAATTTTAATTTTCAAGTTAAAAATTAACAGTGATACACATTGAAATAGGAAATTCAGAATAAACCCACAGAAGGGCAATATCCTGTACTACATTAATCACATAAACTTTTTTTTCAATTCTGCAAATAATGACCTTCAAGAGGTTGCTAAGCAACGGAGTATTTTTCAATTTTCGGGCAGTATTTCTTGTTTTTTGCTCATCCCACACACATTTATGCATTCCATTACATTGTAAAGTCAAATGTAGGGTAATGATACTGAAATAATATACATCAGATAATTGTCTGAAAGTTTGACCTCATCAAATTCATTTTTTTTGGAGGTCAAAGGTCAAATAAGTGCATAATTTTAGAATTTTTCCCAAAACTTTTCATCGTTCTTGCGTAAAATTTGTAACAATGGATGCTAAAGAAGAAAATTATGAATTTACTCTTTAGAAGGCATCATACTGTATTGCAATATCCACATATTATTTTTGTACAAATTTGTGTTAAATGACCTTTAAATGGTTGCTAAGCAACAACAAGATTCAATTTTCTGGCTTTATAGGTTTCTAACTTCTTATTCTAGACAGTTTTCCGTGGTATCGTTTGTAAGATATAAGGTCAAAAATAATTTATAAAACATCCAACAAATAATTGTCTTAAGTATTGACCCTGAAATTTCTGTTCTTTGTGGGTCAAGGTCATATCAGTACAGAAATCTGCCTTAAATTGTATGTATACATCAAATTTGAAATGCTGCAATTATTATGGACATATTGTCCAATAACTGACACATAAAATTGTATACAAGAAAATCAACAGAGATATCACAAAAGTGAATAGTTTTGTTTTAATTACTTAGTTCTTTCTTTTTTTTCAAATCTTGGTTGTCATTCAAAAAATATATCTCTGACTTAAGTAAACTGGAACAAAATTTGTAAAATATGTTCTCAAGTATTTCAATCTTAGTGACAAATACTATTAAAATCATATTAAGGTAAACATGTGTTGCAACCATTATCATTTTTTAATTACACAAAAGAGAATTTATTTTGTCATTTTCAAAAACTAAGTCAAACACATTCTTTGTCATCTAGAATACATTGTATAAAATAAGATTTACAATTTTTCTTTTCTTAAAAGAATTATTTTACATTTTCAAGTCTTTACTGGGTCACTTGTTATAACAACTTTTGTCATTTTATAAGCACATGAAAAGACAGCAAAGATGGACAAGCACAGAACATCAGATACAATCTTTCACTCATCCAGTTTATGTCGCATACATTATGTGCACATCATCTTCATGTTGAATGAACTCTCTGCCATCTCTCTGAAAGACTGAGGGAACTCCTTTGATTTGACCAAGGCATGATCAGTCTCTAAATGTATTCTGTCCCGACTTCTGTAACAAATTTCAAAAAAAAGTTTTGAAAAAGCTTTTCTAATCGAATATGTAGTTTTAATCAGATAATTCAGTTTATGCAGAAATCTACAATTGGCAAATTGATATAACATTGTTAAAAAGTCTTTATAAAGCATATCATATATATTATATTATGTATGTCATATTTTGTCATACTTGTAGTTAAATGGTTTGGGGAAGTCAATGTATTATGACTGAAATATTGCAAGCTTTATAGTAAACAATCAAGTTTAATCAATCATAAATTTTAAAAAATAGCATAATTAACCATTATTTTATCAAATTCATGAAGTATCCTTTTTTAGTTTCTGTTGTCAGGGTTGTTAAGAGAAAGGGCATGTTGGACTGTTACTTCAGAGAAAAATCCCTGGGACGAGGTGTTTATATATATATGGGCTTGTTTGTATGTTATTAAATGTCTCTCTCAAGAATTTCTCTCTCAGATGGAGACGCCACCACTTGTCGGTGGACAGATGCAAATTTTGTTCTATACTCGGCACTTACAGCTATTGAGCTGTGAGGGATCTTTTTCATGCCAGCACCTACTGCGACAAGGGACCTTAATTGGGTTATATAAGTATAATAAAAGATAAGATATTTTTATAGTGTCTCATCAGAAGAACAGGTCTCCATGTCTCATAGTAAGATTCGAACATGCGATGTAAGGATCAACTCCTTACTTCATGACTATAGGGCAGAGGCTCTAACCACTGCACCAGTCCGGCTTCTCATATACCTGGGAGTGTTGACTAATAGCCGTCCAGTGGCAATGAGGAATTTTGACTGCAATAAAATTGACTTACTAATAACTAAGCACATATGTCCTCCACGTCATGGTCTTTTCTGTGCGTGGTGGCCATTAGCAAGTGGGTCTTCATAGATGAAAGTTCTGAAGCCTAAATGGTACCATCGCACTACACGTGCTAAAAAAAATTATGTGTTTGTGTTAATTATGTCATGTTTTATTTTTCTTTAATGTACTTAGAGGTGGTCAAGAAAACTTACCATGCCACTTCAAAAACAACACAAAAATAAGTCAAACTTATTCGAATCCATCATCTCAAAACACGGTTTGGATGTTCAAACCCACAATACAAAAATTGATTTGTTTGATGTACTCTGACAGGTCCGGCACAAGGTCTTGATTAAGCTTTATAGCTTGATTTAGCTATATAGCTTTATTAAGCTATTCGGAATAGCTTAATTAAGCTATTTTATCACAATTTTTTCTCAAATGATTTATTTTTTCAGCATGTGCAAAAAGTCGCACCTTGTTGCAGTGGAAATATTAAACTTTGAACTCTTCTGAATACAATGCATGTAAAAATCACTCACCAAATTGTGTCTCCTTGAGAGACTTTGTACTCAATTTTTTTAAAGTTTGGGGGCTATTAATGAGTGACCACACAATTATTTCTTGAATTAAATTATAAAGGAGGTCAGTTATGGCAAACAGGATAACTGATTGGTAACTGTTTCACACAATGAGAAGCAATCATACTTATCCACGCCAATAATTTTTTCAGCACTGTAAACTTTTTATTTTCTTTTTAAATTTACTAAAATTGTTTCATTTTAAAGTAAAGATGTATAATTTCTATAGGATGCTTTTTGACTGAAAGTTTTTATAACAACAAACTTGTGTAGCTAACAAACATGTCAAATGCGTACTGCTAAGAAATCTGTGATTTCATGACAGTTATCAATTTTTCAGCAGTGTAAACCACACGAAAATTAACCACCTACCTCCCATCTTAAAAATCTGGATCGGAGGGGACGGAGTACATCGAACAAAAATATTTTGTTGATCAGTCAACACAGTATTCAGATTCCATATTGAGAAAACAGTGACATCGTATTGTAAACAATTTTGTCATCGGAAAAAATAGTTTTTGTGAGAGCTTTTTGAAAGAACCGAAAAGTATCATTTTTGGGTTACCGACGATGTCAAACCAGCGAACGGCTTCATATCACATGTACATGTGTAGCCAGGGTCCAATCTACTACTATAGTATATATAGGTCCTTGGTAGTCTATAATGTCTTTTCATTTCAGTCAATGTACTCTACAATACTTTTAAACTTTTCAATCAATACTTACTCACATCTAATGCCAAAGAAAAGACCCGTCTTATATGATGAATTGACGTGTTCTCCATCGTACAATAATCATGAAAATCCATGCTGTTCAACAGCCTGTTGTTGTTTACTGCTACAGCGGAAACACGTGTTAATCTCGAATAAAAGCAACTCATACCGTAATGAGTCGAGATTTTGTATTAAATCATTGTGTTTCAAAGTTTTTTTTTAAATTTCATGTCAGTATATGTTTAATTGTATTTTATATTAAGAATATATTTTAATAAAGCAAACAGCAATAAATCTTTTTTTTTTTTGGACGTAGACCTTTAGGAATCAAACATTTTTTTTATCTACACTGAATAAAACTTATTGCACATTGCATAAATAAACAAAAATACATATCTCTAAGGCTGTAAAGATAATTACTGTTATTTTAAATCATTTTTTTAAAAAATGCTTCTATTTAAATTTAATTAAATATAATAGTACATGTACTAAACATGTTGTTCCGAATGAGGCGCAACGAAAACGACCTTGACGTTAAATATTGACTACATTCAAATTTTCTACAAAAATTACGCGGAGGTTCAAAATTCAAACTATGGTAATTCAGAGAATACTGAAAATAAAGAGACCAGTGAAGGCTTGTTGAAATGGAAATTTTCTCTACTTTTACCAGCTGTATTTTGTTTTCCCTATTTCAACACAGAAATAAAGGTAAAACTGCGTTTAGTTCAAATATTACGAATAAAACCCAGAAAAATCACATGCGTGGAAGAAAATTCTTGTTTTAACAAAATATTTAAAAGAAAAAGCAATAATTTTTACATATTTTAATAGCAGAGAAAATATCCTTTTTAAATATATTAATTTTATTTAAATGATTTAATCAGGAAAAAATATACCTATCGTCAGGATATTCGTCCTTGCTTTTGAAAATTGCGTCATTTTCAAAAAGTCATGAATGTCTTCAAAACGTAAAATCTATTCATTATCGATTAATAAGGCTCAAAATTTTTACAGGGTCTGAAAGTAGAGATAATTTCCTAAAAGATGATATATAATTTATATACCTTAATGCTATTATTAAAAATATACATAGGTCCTGTTATCGCGATGCCGTGTTTTAACGCGCTATCGGTCATATTGACCGATGCGGTAGAGAAGGGGTTAAACGTGTTCTTTGGTTCCCGTTCACAGTATTCAATGGCATCATTTTCTTTTTACTAATCAAAATATTTCCAAGTGAAAGAGTTTTAGCAAAAAGCTTTTCTTGGTTGAAATATGAACACAAACAATATGAACGAAAACGATACACGCCCGGATCTCATAAAAAAGAACTTTTAAAGGGTTAAATAGTACAGAAATTATTTACCGCGCAATTCTCACATTCACCTGGAACCCAGATTTTACGTGTGTTGACCATTGTTGCGTAATCTTACGATTACACACATCCAAGAAAATCTTAAGCGCCACGCCGCGGCGAACCATTGACCCTGAGGTCAAAGGCTAAACAACTCTGTGAAAACCATTTTACAATCAATGGAAAATTATTATTGTCCGATATTTGAGCTTATTATGTTGGCTTATCTTTGTTTTAAATTTGATCGTGATACATGTTTATCTAAAACAGCTATCTTGGTTTTGTGTTTCTTTACAATTACGCGACAAACCAATCCTTCCGTTGCTTGATGATATTAATTTACACAGCGTGGTAGAATGTTAAATCTTATTTTACAAAGTTACTGAAAACATTATTTTCTGTAAGTAAATCGAATCTTTCAAAAATATTTCAAAATATCTTAGGTTTGACTCTAGAACAAAACGTTTGGGTATTTATTTTACATATACATTAATCAGTCTTCAATTTTTATAGTTCGTTAGCTCCATGTGTACTTTAACTTTTCGTTTTGAGGATTCATAGCGTAAGGACTGGCGATCTGCGGTTACTTTACTTCAATCAATATTGATTTAAATGCACAAGCTTAATTAGGCTAGCGCTTTTAACTCACAAATAAATCCGTTTTCGACACAAATTTTCCCAAACACATTTTTTTTGTTCATCACAGATTTTTACCATCACTATTTCAGTTTTAAATTTTCAAGAAAATCTTCCGAATCATAAGGATCTATTCAGAATTTTACTCATAAATAAACATCGATAAGTATCTCCAGCACGTTTAAACCTCATTTATAAGTGACTTCTGTGCTTGCACAATGCCTATTTATATTACACGTTGAATAGTCAAATTGAAAAAATTATTCCATATTTCAAAGTAATGAATTTTATTTGTTTTATAATTTATTCAAAACATGTAAATGATTAGTATAGTGCGCTAACCTTTTTAATTTTGTTCCGTGATTTTAAAAATATCAGTAGCAGATTATACAATGTACATGTAAGTAGCACATGAAATAAACCCGCATCGTTTGTACAGAATCGAAAATTTAAGAACTTATATATAACAATCTACAGCTACTGAATATCACAAACTTATCATGTAATTACACACTTTTATGACCTAATTTAAACTTTTAAAATAATAACCGGCACCATAGTTAAACATTACATGTCTTATAATCGGCACTTAGTGTCTTTGAGCACGAAGGGATCTTTTTTGTGCCAGCACCTAAAGCGACACAGGACCTTGTTTTATACAGCTCATCGGAAGGACAGGTCCCCACGTCCAACAGTGGGATTTGAACCACGACGTAAGGATCAACTCCTTACTTCGCTATTATAGAACAGACCACAGGCACCAAACTCGCTTGAATTTTTGACCCCCTTTATTATATACTAGGGGGTCAAAAATTCAAGCGAGTTTGGTGCCTGTGGAACAGACGCTCTAATCATTGCGCTATGCGGGCGACCTTGGGGATATAAAATGAAAACAATGAAGAAAATGATTAGTAAAAAGTAAGAAGGGGTCGTTTTAAAGCATTATTCTTACGAACTTCAGGGCGAGAATGAGAAATCATATTTACGAAAGCTTCCTGATATAAAAAAGATTACTTTTTTTCAAATCATGACTAGAGTTTTCCCTTGCAAAGTAATTGTGTATTTTGGGGGGTAGTGTGGATGGAATGGGAATTAAACGGTCTGTTTAACTGTCCACATGTCTGTCTGTCCCTTAAAGTTTTTCCCAGATGGTCAGGCTATAACACAAAGAAACCAGAAGCTTGTACTTGATACAAAGATTTCAGGTGATCCTAGGTTGTGTCATTGTATTTATATATTCAAGGCAATATTACGGCAAATTTAAGGTCACTGGAGAAAGAATTCATGTTTTGTTGCATCATTTATATGTAATCGAGAATATCTATAAGCTCATACTTGATACAGAGATTGCTTGTGTCAAAAAGGTTTTTTTTACGATTATAACTCAGAAAACGGTATTTTTTTTCATTCTAACTACATTTATATTTGTTTAAGTCCATACTTGATACAAATTGCTTATAGTCCGCCGGTTTACAAATGACTTAAAATAAGGTCATTTTAGCAAATTTAGGGCCAATGACAGAAAAGTTGTAAAACTCCTGTCAAGGTTATGAATTTCTAAAAGTTGTTTCAGATTGAGGGTTTGTCTTGACAAAGAGCCAAGATTATTCTGTTAAAATCAAGGTCACCGACATAAGACATCTTTTCTTTTCCATGCTATGAACTAGTAAGTGAAAATCATTGGAGGCTCTTACTTGAAACATAGATTACTTATGATTGGAGGTTGTGTCATGACCCTGATCAAAGGTCTTTCTGGCAAATCAAGGTCAGTGACAGAGAAAAAATGTTTAAGCATAACTTTGTAATTAAGATTCACTGGAGGCTCATGCTGAGAAGAAAGGTTGTTCACATTAGAAAGTGCAGTAACCTTGACCCAAGGTCGGTACTTCCTGTCCACAGCCCCAACGTAAGACCTACTCGTTGCTTTGCAACGAGCTCGGCTCTAGTTATTCTTTTTTTTTCTTCTGCTTCCTAGACCGCAACTTTGAGGCCTCATATCTCGCTCATTTCTCAACGGATTTCGCTCAAATTTTCAGACATTATAGACGTTAATAAACTCTATTAATATCTTGTCTAAAATTTCAAAAAGCCACTTCCGGTTTTGAGTTATTTCCCTTTAAAAGAAAATTTATAGGCTTTCGTTTCCAGACAAAGGCTCAGAGACGGCTTAAGCTGGAGCAGAAATTCTACTGATTTTAGATAATAGAAAGATTGAAGTTGTGCACCTTGGTTTTTGTTTTTCGATTTCTCTATTCAAAATGGCGCTATATAGGGGTCAAAAATTAGAACGCTTAAAAGAACTAAAAATTACTCATATTTTTCTTTTTATCTTCTAAACTAAAAATATTTTGTTAAAATATATAGAACATAATTTGTGCAGAATTAGAAGATCTTTCAAATGATAAGTCGAAAAAAGGGCTGATCCCTAAATTTAGGGACCTAGAGGGGCCAAAAGTTTTTTCCAGATATCTCAAAAAGTATTGAGAATTTGTTATACATCAAAGAAGCAAAGTTGTTCAAAATATCAAGCTTTATCTAATGGTATCGTCACAATACGTCCGGCGACGTCAATTCCGGTCGAACCGGAAGTAGTCAGAAAATGCATATTTTTGCCGTTTTTGACAGGTTTTTGTGTAACATGTGTCACTTGAAGCTTAAATATTAATTTTTCGTCCGTCGTCTTCACTTCCGGTCAAACCGGAAGTACCTTAGAATGGCTTAATTTTGCAATCCTTAACATAGATTTGGAGGATTAACCCATTTTCGGACTCCATTACTCTTTTTTTTAAATGAAAGTTACTTCCGGTCAAACAGGACGGAAGACCTACTCGTTGCTTTGCAACGAGCTCGGCTCTAGTTTTTTGGTACTTTACTTTCTCCTACTTACTTCCATCGTTTCAGAAAGCATAGTGTATGAAGTGTTTCCTTTCAAAGAAAACACCTTAAACCACTTTTAATTTCAAATCATGCTTATAAAAATGGGTAACTAAGGATAAATATAAAGAAATTTGATTTTTTATGCAAGTTTTATTTAATTTTATGAAGTACAATTGTAAACTTTTTAAATACCGTTTGTTAAAACTTTAAAGAACATTGAACATACGTAGAGGCATAAAATGAAAATTGTTGCATGAAAAAATTCAATTTCAAGCTTTATTTTAAGACTTTTTGAATTAAATTATAAATTAAAGAGTTATCCTTCCTGAC